AACGGCCACCCTGAGCATTCACATCTGCCCCACGCTCGAGGAGAAGCTGCACAATCGGTTCGGTTCCTTTTACTGCAGCTGCTTGTAGTGCATTGCCATAACGGCCACCCTGAGAATTCACATCTGCCCCAAGCTCGAGGAGAAGCCGCACAATCGGTTCGGTTCCTTTTTCTACAGCTGCATATAGTGCATTGCCATAACGGCCACCCTGAGCATTCACATCTGCCCCACGCTCGAGGAGAAGCCGCACAATCGGTTCGGTTCCTTCGAATGCAGCTGCTTGTAGTGCATTGCCATAACTGCCACCCTGGGTATTCACGTTTACCACATCCTCCTTTCGATTGACGAGTAAATTAGAAGCCATCGGTAAAATTAATAATGAGCAATAGTAGATTGCGGGTGGGTAAGCTCCGGAATCTGTGGGTTTAACCCCCCAGGGACTGTCGGGGTCATATATATCTAGCCAGGTTCGGCCTAGCTCGAGGACCTTTATTGCAGCATCGCAGAGCGGAGTGGGTGCCGTATACTCAATTGATCTAAAGTACACGAACCAATGGCGAGCGCTGTGGTAGAGAAACGACTCTTTTTTGACTTTGTCCCCGGGTATGGTACCAAGTCCACTATGCCGCAGTATTCGGCTAAGACAGGCGTGCCCCATCCGTAAATTGGCTCGATCCTCCGAAATATGACAGTAGGCACTCGAGCCTTGAGCTGCCCGGTCCGAGATCAAATATTCCTTTACCGAGAAATGTGCTAGTCGTAATCGCCGGCTTTCCTGGCGGGAGGATTCACCGTCCCTGGCGTCTTCGAATGAAATAAGGCTAGGGCAAATGCTCATGAGAGACTTCGTGTCAAAAAGGTTTTCCGAATTCTCGCCATACTTGTTGACATTGTATTCTATCACAATGGCCTCAGCCAGCTGGCCTAATGTCAATGGTTCTGCTGAAAACGCTAGCCAATTCATCCCTCGCCGAATATATTCCTTCTGCGTCTCTGGAATGGTATCGAGGATCCTCTCATATATGGAGTCTAAGTCTTTCGGGAGCTTCTTCAATGCATGCCGCACAGATTTTGGTGTTATGCATTCTTCCAGAATTCTCAGGAGACAATCTACCCATCGGAACCTGGAAACACGCGCCAGAAGATTAGCATAAGTAGAAATTCAACGATTGGGCATAACCCACATTCCCTGTGAACCTGAAACTAGCGTTTCCTCTATCTCGCTTTTGATCTCTTGTGTAAACTTCTTGAAACCATCCTTGCCGACTAGAGTGTTCCGTATATATGCACGGATATCCGGATCGATGGTGCTGGATTGTAGCGATATTGAAAACCCATTAAGTTGTTCCAGTGACCCCACAATATCGGCCTCGGGACGGCTAGTGACGAGAATCGAAAGCGATCCCGCATTGTGATCCGCGTTAAGCTCGCCAATAAAACTCAGCAGCCTCTCGCGTACTCTCGTTGGGACCTCGTCCAAGGCATCTAAAACGATAAAGGTCCTCCCGAAACCCTTTATAATCTGCGACAGTACTTTTTTCAGTTCCTTGATTTCCGCCGACTTTCTAACTGCCCCAGTGCTTTTGTACAGATCAACAACCTCGCGTGGCAAACCCTGCTCCGATGGCCGTTTTGGAAGTTGGCCAATGATGGATAAAAGCATATTCTCCAAATTTTGCTTCTCCGAATCACTGAAGGTAAAGTAGAAATATGCTAATGCATGATCGTCCTTCGACTCGCAGAGATTTTCAACATCCTTAATAACGGTAGCGCTAAAGAGAGAGTTAGCAATCAGGAAATCATAGTGTGCCCTTGGATTCCCAGTTGAGTTCGCACCTTAGCACACTTTTTCCACATCCGGCTACAAGAGACAAATATTAATGACCTTCCTCGGAGCATAAGATTTGAACAGGCGTGTAAACTCACGTATACCGTGAAGCCAGAGAAGTCCTCTTTGACCTTCCTTCCAACTGATATACTCGCGTCCCTCGAGCAGCCAACTTCCCGTACCAGGTTCACAAAGCACGCGCGCGGATGAGTAATCGGAAGTTGGATCAACGACGTTAAGCCATTTCTGTACTTTCTGAAAATTCTTCTCTGGGGTTTTAGGAACATCCGATATTAGTAACAAAATAATTGGCAGGGTTAGGGAAAATGTGACCAAGTACCCTCTAGGATTTCCAAAACCATTGTTGCCTTATTCCTAAAACAACTACTTAGTCTTGCCAAGTAAAAGAGGGGGGGGCGGAGAAGCCAGATTCTCGTGGGACTAGGAGGGATGACGTACGCCGTGGCTGTACTCAACAATTGTTGAAGTCCCGATCTCTCCTCTGCCACCAATTTCATGTAACGGTCCATTTTGGGCTTGTGAACCGGCCAAAGAAACTTTCTCCAGAATTTCCTCCCTCCCGGGACATCCAATTTTTTCTTTAGTTTCTCGAGGGTTGTGGCATAACGCCCCAAACATTCGTTTTCCGTCCATTCACGAAGTCCAGGGTATTTTGGGTTGTTCTCGTCACCTTGTTCAGCAAGAGCCTGTATTTCCTTCAGCTGCTCGCTGATACTCCTGATCTCATTCGCTAGTCTCGTGAAATCATTTTCGCTCTCCTTAACTGCATCGCGGTATTCATCGCAAAGTTGATAAACCTTTGCGCCGAGGTGAATGAGTCCCAGGCCACCAGCAACAAACCCGAAGGGGTCCGCCATTTTCTTTCTCACGAATGTTGTGGGTTAAGAGGGGGAGTGCAAGTTGCTCTGAGAGCTCGCTATCTTTCAATAGGGAAAGAAGAATAAAAGTCTGCCTTCGATTCCGAGGTGGGTCCTCGAAGCTTGGGGAACTATTTTTTTGGTATGCTTTCGGATAGTGGATTCTGGGATGAGGCGGGATACAGGAACTACTCGTAGAGGGAATCTTTTCGCAGCAACCCTTCTTAAGAACTCAAAGAGCGGGGCTGTGAAATGCGCAGCGCTTGTGCCGGCACACAGAAACGGCAACTGCATGCCCAGTGGCTGTCTGCACATATGCAAGCCAAATATGATACTGTATTACCCGAATATATCAGCCCATGTGCTACCATTTTGAGCAACGATCAATTTTCTTTCCGACCTGGGCTTTAACTTAATGCTAATAGGTGCGCGGCACATTACAGTCTCCGTTGCTGGAGGGCAGGTCAGGCCGAGTGAACAATCCCCCGCGTTTTGCAAAAGTTGATCCTATCAGAATCGCTATGAGTACGAGTTCGGGTAGAGTACAGCACTCGAGTATGATACTCGTACTTGTACAGCGCAGTACTTTGTATAGTTCTGGAACTCTCATACTGTAAACAACCCAAATTCGCTACTGGTATCTCGAGTACTCAAGTGCTAGTACTTGGACCATGCCACACGAAATTCCACAGGGCAGTGTGGCAGTCAGATTTACCGGCCTACTACTCGGGGGACATTCGGTTGCCTCTGCTAATAGCTGGGACGGTTCTCTTACTAAGACCTTTGATTTTCCCCATGCTACTACAGGTGGTTCCGGTAGTTTAATGCAATGCGACCTTCTGAGACATTCAGCCCCAGTCCCGAAAAGGTGATGCGCATTCTCTGCTGAGCCCACGGCTCAGTCTCTGCTCGGGTGGAAGAGATTGGCTGGCGAACCTCCTTGAGTACCGTACAGTCCCGGTTTGCCACCCGCTGATTTGTTAGTTTCCCTAGCACATACCTTCCCCCACATAGGCCAGCTGTGTCCCTTCATGTTGTGCACTTACAAGAGATAGGCCTAGGTCTGGGAACCACCCCTATGGTAGGGGGTGGGCAACACCCCACATTAACATGCAATTACGGAGGCCACGTTTCCTCTCCGTCGCAGTTGGGTCCAAGTTCTTCTCCTCTGTTCTACGGAGGTACAGCTCTTAAGTTTTGTATGTTCCACAAGCAAGGGTGTTCGGCTGGCGGTGGGTACTTAACGCGAATTGGGAAAGCTACAGCACAGATTAGGAAATTTTCCCTAGAAATTGCCCAATTCGCCGCTAATACCCGCGCTAGCCCAGCACCCCTTGCTTGTAGAACATACAAAACTTAGGTGCTGTACCTCCGTACTCCATCCACCACGGGTGTGTTACGCCGTCATCATTCCCTGGCAGTTCCCTTCCCTACATTCCACCAGATTTCCAGGTGACGGACATATCTCCTGAACGGGAGCCAACCCTGTCGAGTACGCCATTCAATCCCGGAAGTCAACCAAAACACTTCTACCTTGGTGCAGGGATTATCCAAGGACTGTTACTTGGTAGCTTACTGAAACCCCTTCCTCGGATACAGTGCAGAGCTGTGGAAGGGTAACTGGCTCTTAACCGACCAATTAACCCTGTGCAACTCCAGTGCCACCCACATCACCCATGTCAAGGCCAGAGCCGCATTGCAGAAATATCACAAAGTATGGCACGCTTATCCACTTGCCAGCTTGCCCAAACAACAAACAATGCCCCGCCGGTGGCTATGTGGAACCACCCCCTCCCGTACCATCATCATCCTTCGATTCATCCAAATCGCCTCTTTTCTCCGCTAAAACCGCTAGTTAGGGGTTTATGTTGGCTCCCCAACCGAAACAAGAAGAATCCATGGACAAACATCTCTACCGAGAACCTCACAGTAACTTGAGTAAGGGATAATGATACCTATGATACCTTGACTTATACCCTATCATTGCACACATTAGCGCACACATTAGCGCACCATAGGTTCCTACAAGCCGGAAAAATATTGGATAATTATTCTCATACCATCATCCCCCTGGCCCCGCTGTTAGTTTTACTATGATGGAGTTATGGGTGCCAGAGCAGTTGATACAGGTTTCACGCGCGACTTTTCCTATCAGGTAAGACTCCGATACCACATTTTCTCTCTCCACCCCTTACCTTCATATCAGGTTCCCACTTATCCACCGCCGTTATTTGCCCTCCATTTATTCACATTCGGACCCGATCTCTCCTGCCGCATTCTACCACCGGGCACCCAATACTCCTACCTAGATATCCAGACTTCTCTGCAGGTTCGCAGGGTATAGAGATTGGCAAATAGCCGAATTCTGTCCGTTGCATGCTATACCCCCTAATGATTATGTGCTTGGCCTTGGATTGGGAGGGGAGCTCTGGAATATATCCCCTATTTACATTGCTCCTATGTAGGTAATTAAGCATGCGATCGATCACTTCGGCTATCCGCTTTTCCTCCCACTATTCGTCTTTCACAAATGCTACCATTTGCGCAGCGACAGCACATATCGCGCACGTTGCCCCTGGCGAGGCCCGTTGGGCGCGGATGAGCAACATAAGGCCCGGCAATAGTTTACGACCCGTCTGGCCCTATCACAAAGATGGG